TCAAATGAGGGTCGGCAGAAATTCTTGCCTAAGGATCTTATAGGTATGCCTACATTGACCCCCCAAACCACCCCAATGTAGGCATATATGGCATACATGGAGTGTCTGGGATGGAGATAGATAGTCGTGTCCTGACCTATCTACCTGAGTCTTTCAGGTCGAACGAGAGACATGCTGGGTGGGAGCAACAGGTTTTGACCCATCTTCATTTGGTGCCCAGCCTTCGCGGTCAAGTATGTTGTGCAGCTGGCGCAGTGTTGATACATATAAAGCTGCAGAGTAGCAATTGAATTTAGGAGCTCATTTCGATTGGCCTTTGAGCCCAAGGAACCGTCAATCCCAACGTGGTGTAGATGTAAATCCCCCTGTTCCAAGCGGCCAATGCTATTTACTAAGCAGATGAAGGATAGATTCTAGTCTAGCTCGCATAGATGCCACAGTCTCCCCATATGTCACCATACCATATGCTGCATTGTCCCACATGAATTCGTAAAGTCTTTTACCAGCGGGTTTGCGTGGCATCCACCTTTTCAGCAAATAGCCGATTACATACGTAGATTTCACTTGTTTCTCTTTTATGTGAGTATATATAGTATGCCATGCTGAATTGAGGGTTCTCAACGTTCCCATCTTGCAAATTGATGTAGTGTTTGTAAAGGCGTGACATACTTCCAGCCAGTTTAAACCCACAGCAGGGGATCCAAAGACAGGCAGGAATGCCCAGACTTGGGAAGTTTGGACTTCAGTCTAGTGAACCACAGGCCCCCAAGCCCGAGTTGCTTCTGGCTACAGCCAGAATAGCAACTAAAAGCTAGCAGCAGTTTGACTGGCGGCTTTCGTCACGCCATGCCGGACTCGCCGGTGCCTGCAGGGATTTGGAGGATTTGATTGTCCTCACCGAGCCCTTGTTCGAGCAGGATGTGGATGAAGGCCGAGAGCAAGAGGTCACCCGAGAAGAACTGCTGAATCTTGGCGGTTGGTTTGGAAAATCCCTGGGGGGCGGGAAGGAAAAAAGTCGATCGGCCGGAACGGCCAGAACTCTCTGAGGTTTTTGGGGGTGGGGCCCTGGGAGGTCCGGGGGCGCAGGCCATGCACTTCGGCTTTCCCAACCTGAAAAAAAAACGGACCCGGCTAGCTAGCTTTCCCATACACTCCATGTATGCCTACATTCATTGACCCCCTGGCACCACCCCTGGCCGTTTCTCGGCAGTCCTATGGCAGCCCTATTAGTCGCGTTTGGGTTTCACAACCATCAGAAGCTTAGCTTAGCTTAGCAAGTCGAAAGCCCTGAAGTGAACCTCATGAGGTGCTTCAGGGCCGCCCACAGGGGAGGATGCCGCATTCAACGGCCGAACACGACGTCACAGACGTCCATGTTCCGCAGCACCAAATCCAAGGCTTGTGACGTCACAGCGCTGTCGACCCAAATCCTCGGTTCCTGAGGAACGTGATCCTGAATATGCGCGGAGATCGGGATGTGCGGATGGAGGATCTCGTTCGACTACGTTGTGACTTGCGCCGCTACCTCTCGAGGCGCCGCCCGGGTTCCGCGGCTCCGCGGACGAGTTGGATGACCAACTGGCGAGGTTTTCCGTCGGACCATTTGTGGCGCACCGCCAGAAGAGGACTGAAATGAAAAAGTTAGACACTAAGTTAGACTAGACTCATGAATGGATTCTTTATGATTCTTTGGCACCTGAAAAGAAGCAAATCTTGCAGCCCCAAGCAGGATCAGAAGAACCAGGGTCACGATGGTTCATGTGTAACTACTGTTGATAAGAATGACGAAGGAGAAGAAGAGGAGCGGCACAAGCACAGGGCGACATTTGCAGCGAGGATCAGTGGAAATGAAGCCCTTCCAAAACTACAGTTAGTTCAAACCGTATTAAATTAGTATTATATACTTACTACCCGCGAGCAGTTCTGGTGTGTATACGGGTACTTTGCGAGGGGTTCAATCGTTATATAACCCCCTTTTGGTCCCTTGTGGGCTGAGCTCGTGGATTCGTGGATGCTGGCCACTCCCGCCAGTTTCCTTCACTGAACGAAAGAAAGGATGTTGACCCACCGGCGTTGGCGGTAACAACGGTCGCTTTGTGGGCCAACTGCCGGTCAGCCACAGGCAGTTTCAGCAGTTGACCTCCTACTTCGATGGTGAGGCGGACGGGGGACTTTGCTCTACCCAGGGTGCGTTTCTGGTCCAACAAGGAATCATCAGGAATGACGGCGCAGCATTAGGGTCTGAGAGAGCCCCAAGAGGTGGTTCAAACATGTTCAAACGTGAAGTTTCCTTGAAACCAGCAATGGTAGGTTCTTGACATGCCATGAATGGCAAAAAGTGGTTCTAGAAGGAATGGTAAACCTGGCTGCGGTGAGATAAAACCTGGCTTTTTGGATCCCCTTGAGAAAAGGGTCCGCGCGCTCTTGTGTTTTAGCGCGCGCTGCAGAGAGAGAGAGAGAGAGAGAGAGAGAGAAAGAAAGAAAGAAAGAAGGACGGAAGCTCGCGCAGGGGTGGAAGGAAGCTCCATCCCAGACACGACTCATGGGCTCATGGGACTGCCATAGGACTGCCGCCCCAGAGGCCGAGCCCCCCCGAAACCACCACCCCGGGAAAGGCCGTTTTGAAGGCAGTCCGACAGTCCCAGACAGGTCGCGTCTGGCGCCAAACGGAACGAGAGACGTTTGGGTGAATGGGGCGGCAAATCTTCCATACATGGAGTGTTTGGGCTATATGTCCACCAGGTACCTGTGTCAGAGTGCTTTACCAAGTACTTGGTCGATTCACGGAGAAGGTGAGGACTCTTTGAACAAATAACCCAAGTGCGGCCGCCGTAGGAAAGGGAGGTCATACATCCCGCATGCTGGTGTATTTTCCGATAGTTTTGCAAAATTGGATACGTCAACATATGGAGTCCGCAACACAATGTAGCTTCAGGCCAAGCAAGGTCTGGTTTTGACCCACCAGTTCTTCTGGACATCGAAGATATCCCTACAAGTCCAGTTGGACCAAGTAAAAACCTGGTCCTTCCTGCATCTCGTTGAGTCCTTAAAATGAGTCATGAGTCATGTGAGTCATGAGGGTTATCGTTTATCCCTAGCTCTGGTGTTTAGCTTTTTTTTCTTCCAAATCCAGCATAGACGTCCTTCACTTCCTGCTCGCAGGTGGGAAACCCGCTACGGCAAGAACCGTGGCCATGAAAATGCAATGTGGCACCCACGCGGCTCGCGAAAGCGCCACGAAGAAATCAGCTGCAGCACTGAGCATGTTGATTGAATCACGTCATGTTGAAGGTGGCACTACAAGATCTGGGGGTTGTTGCTGTTCGGAAGGTCATCAAACAGGTGAGAATAGGAACCTTCTCTAATCCTTGTCTCGCCCTTCACATGTCACATGCCCACTATATATTGATTCTATTTCTGGGGTTGCGAATTTGCTTCGAGGACTTGCATATGCGACAAAGCAAGACTCGCAATCCAACGATTGCCAAAGTACCGACTTCTCATGTTTGAGATCCAATGCTCTTTAAAATGCTGAATCCGTTCCGAACATCCAGATGAGACCCGATCCCTGGACCTCCAGTATGCTCCATCCAGTGCGGCATTCGGGGGCATTCGTTGGTCCAAACACCTGAGAAAGTCCTTGGAGACCTAGGGAGTTCATTGTTGCGTGTAACAGGGGGTGCGTGGGGGGTCGGCATGGGGGGTTGGCATGGACAACCCTTTTTGCCGATCACATGAAATGGATTACCGTTGTTTTTGTCTCCACGCGGTTTCAAGGTCCTTTAGTAGGTTTTTCTGCCACCAAGCCATGAAAGGCTTTGGAGGACACATGTGTTTCTTTTTCAGAAAAAAAACACAGGAGTCTACAGTCTACAGAGCTTGCCGATGCTCCCTCCTGTAGGTTTCTTCATGCATGTGCATGTGACTCTTTTTGGGGTTGTTGATCAATCCATTTGCGTCCAGTTGACTATGTTCAATGCGGCAGCTTCGGAGAATGGGAAGGTCCGCAGCTTTTGCCTTGTACAGGAGATGTGGATCCTCCTCAGATGTTTTGGAATGCTCGGATGGGTCATGGGTCGACGAGCGACGCGCAAAGGAGGACCTCCGGACCTTCGAGAAAAAAACACCCGAACTAATTACCGCTAAAAAAAAACAGTTGACACCAGATGGAACAACACCTGAGACCTGCAGTTGAGGAACTCATTGCTGTTCTTGCTGTCTCTGGAAGAAAACCTAACTCAATTGGGCCGTTCTGGTGCCCCACGGACCGAATGTCTCCCTTGGGCGGAATGGGAATTTGAGGATTAACAAGAACTTGGACCCTGCCAATTGACCAAAGTTACATAAAGTGACCAATGTTCTTGGCGGAAAGTGAGGGGTTCACACTTGCAAAATTGAGTGTGCTGCCAGATCAACACTGCAGGATGGCACTTCTTTCAGATGTGACTGAGAATAGCATGCTGCACGCTGTTTCGGAGAATCCTTTCCTCTTCAGACCCACCACGCTGAAGCACTGTTTTCATCCTTAGGCCCAGCAAGATACCAGTGCAGTGTAAGACGCACTGCTGGACATAAGCTGGAGTTGTGCCGCCAAGCAGTCACAGAATCTTGTAATTTTGAATTCTAAGTGCCACTGAAGTGATTGACACCAGTCAGAATCGATCACCAGTTTGGGGGCTTGGGGAAACCCCAAAACCGCTAGAACAGGTCGAACAGGTTAACCTGTATTTTCCAGGGGCTCCGAAGTCAAAGTCAGCGTTACGATAGACACGTCCATTGAGTATGGAGGATAAGATGTGCATATCAGGGGCATGTTCGGGACCTCTTTTACAAGTTCCAACCAGGAGCACACATTGACAGTTGCCCAAATCCATGCCCCCCAAACAGGGCTGCTGTGACCGGTTTCTAGTTTGCGGACATCCTGCAGTAGCCACAGATCATTCAGCAATCTACTACAGAATGTCGTTAAATGCACCCTACATGTCCAGTCTGACCCAGTAAAACCTGACCCCTTACCTCATTGACTCATTTAATGTTGTATTTTGGTGATATGATCAACTCCAGTCAAATGGGGTCTTTAACCTGTAGGGATATACATAATTATATACAGTACATACATACTTACTTACATACACATACAATCATACATACATGTTTCTGTTTAAGCTTGGTGGCTCCACGACATCAGGAGATCAGCTCGGTGTCGCCGTTTTGGGCCATGCCGAGTGGCCTCCCGCCGCACCAACGTGCGATGAGAAAAGGGGGGCCGTGGCGTGACGGCACTGGACATGCTGAGGTGGACCTGAAATAAACCCTAGTTACATATATATCCCAACAGCTCCCAGACACTCCGTGGGGCTGCCATAGGACTGCCGATCAGGCCAGGGGTGGTGCCAGGGGGGTCAATGGGGCGGCATGTATGGCATGCATGGAGTGTATGGGAAATGCATCTAGATGAACTACTATTGACGTGCGCTTTGTTGTGATCGATGTTGGTGTTGCGGAATTCCACCACAAAGCAATCAATAGGGGAATGTCAATATGGGTATTATATCCTACTACAGGTGTTCCACAAAGAAACAAACATTCGATAGCCCCATGTTCCCTTTTGCACGCGTAGTGCTGAAGAGCAGATGCTTTAAAACTTTGCACTTCTTGAAGCTAGTAGCGATGCCCTTTGTTACTAGATGTTACTAGTAGCTTCTTGTTCCTAGTAAGAATGCAACCTAGGTAACCTAGTATAGTAAGGCCAGGAACCCCTAGTAGTAAAGGCCAGGAGCCCCGAACGTAGCGTCATGCTGGTCCTTCTCGCCGTGGGAAATCTCAGAGTGACTCGGACTGCACCGCATCCCATTGATTGAGCGGCGACCTGGTAGGAAGGGGCGACCTGGTAGCCATCCGACACCAAACACATCCGTAAAAAGATGGACATTGGAGTCGGCTTGGAGCACTTCTTGGACACCCACGCCTCGCATCCCGTTCAGCCCCCCCATTCTGCAGAGAGAAGAGGTCGTGGATGCCCAGAACTCTGCAGCGCGTTTCTCATTGGCACCTACCTGGCGCGCCATCGGCCAATTCACCGTACCTAGTGGGCCTCAACCACAGGTGCGCGCTATTTTCAACAGGACCCCACACGGATCCACACGGTGTGTCTTCCCTTCTTCAGTGGATTCACTGAAAAGTTAGCCAGGCTTACTCCTTGCAACTGGAAGACTTCATCCGAAAGATCTCCGGTGGCGGTGGGCGCTACGTCCGGGCCTCCAAGAAGCGTTTTTTTCTTCCCGGTAGGGGGTTGGAGTGGTTTGGACACTGGGGGATGGAGGCGATCTTGGATGTTCACAAGCATAGGAGACCGGTGAGATTGTTTGGCACAAGAGTCATCAAGAGTCCATGACCTCTTATCTTCTGGATGTTTGGTCAGATTATATATTACGTCGCAGAAAAGGCTGAGGTTTAGTTCTTCAGGGTTGTGCACCTTCTTCATGCCAGCCAGAGAAAAACATCTAAAGGCAGGCTTCAGAACGAGATGACCAAGTCCTTGACATTGCCACATTCGCCACATTCACATCTATATATCAGCGAACTTCGCCTGGACTCCAGCTTTCTATCCCAAGAGCAATGAATCCAACGACCGGCCTCACCCTGTTCAGCACCTCCCGTCTGCACCAGGTCCTTCCGCTTCCGCTGAAGCGCGAGGCACAACGGCACATGAAAGCCGTCCGGGAGTCTCGGTGCGAAGGGCGTCGAACGCAGCATCCGCTGGTGCATCGGTGCATCCGCAGCTGGCTGGCATGGAGAGGCAAGCAGTTGGTGGGTGCAAGTCCCCTCCAAATGGGTCGTAGTGATCCTAGCAAAGCCTAGCAGGTGTACCTTTGAAGTCGTTGTTTTGCCCTGGACACGTGATCCAAGCAATGGAATGAATGGGCTCCTGGTTCTAGTACTTCCAAGAATGGACGAATAATATGGGTTGGTCGGCACGTCATCGCGAATTGCTGCTCCATCCATGAGAGTCATTGATCGAGCTCCGATTTTGACACATAGGCCCGCAGCTGCTTCAGAGCAGCCCAAGATCACCCGCAATTTGGCTCGTTCCCATTCACCCCGCACCGAGGTGCCATGATACCTTAGACCATTTTCCATGACACCTAGGTTTTTTTTCCAACCGGGGGTTGGACCACTGCCAGGAGAGTGTTTCATGGCCCAAGGTCAAGTGAAGGTCTATGTCTATATCTCTTTAAATTCTATAAATTGTAACTTATTCAGTGTCCTCCCAGACGCGCATGCTCGGCCGTGCCGCTTTGGCTTCAAAACAGGAGAATTTACACGGCAAAAATCTGAACAATTTAGATAGGAACAAGTTTCAATCTGGAACCAGCCAGGGTGGGAACATCCACATATATCATCATATATCGACATCAACCCACTTTCACAACCCCTCCAAAACCCCAAGAAGGTGCATGTGGCTGCCCTGACAACCCAGTTGAGACTTGTGCGCCATCATTCCTGGCGCCGAGCCACTAATTTGACATCGATGGTACCAACAAAGCAGGTGCATCTTACCGGGACCCGGAGATTCTTGCCGATTTTCGGCAGAGATCCATGTTTTGCAGTATGTGAAGCTATGTGAAGGTCAACGATCAACGGCGACTCAAGGTTTGGTAGATGTCTTTTCGACCCCAACCAACGCTCGAAGCTCGACATGACACGGATAGGGATGCTCATTGCTTGGCCATCAATGCACCTCCACAGCCGAGTCCACCGGGCCGCTTCCACCGTCCGACTTCGCTTCCACCGGGCCGCGGGGTGCGCGGCGCGTTCCGCCGACGGCGACTGGACACCAGGACGGCACGGACGCCATTCGGAGGAGGGTGGGTGGAGAGTCGAAGAAAGTGATGAAAAAGGGTCAAGGATGGTCAAGGTGTTAAGATGTAAACGGGGGGTGTTCCAGTGAATAATTATAAACCTATATATCCAACAGTCCGGTAATACAAGCCCATCACTATTTTACAGATCTCCTGCAACCAGGCCCCATCCACCGGGCCCGGGTAATGGGATACTCTCAGGTCCTTCATCCGTTTCTGCTCAACCGGCGCATATCGATGCATATCGCAACGGAGATGCTAGGATGCTAGGATGCTATGCTAGGCGGGTCCTTTTAGAATCAAAAGGCGCTCTTCTGCCACACGGTGACCTGGTGTGGTTGGAATGGGTGTGGAAAGGAAGACTGAAGACTAATCCGCTGCAAAATGGTTCAGCTTTGCATGCAATCACATAGCACCACCACCGATCCATGATCATCGAGTTCAATGCATTACGTGCAATTTTAAAGGCGATCCCTTCCCATCACAAAATCAGCTGGATTTTGCTGGCAAATTTGCTTCCATGTTCCCATGGTCAGATTAGGGTTAGGGTCAGGCACTTATTGAAACTGAGGTCTTTTGGGTCTTCTTTTTGAAGGTCTCCACGTTGACGTGAGGAGCTCCAGCGAGTGCGGCGGCACATGGACAAAGATGGAGACCTTCCTGGAGCAAGGCCCAAGCTTTGGGGAGTTTCGACGGGCCGACGGGCCTGAGCAGATGGCAAAACCAACTGCCCACCTAATGATAGCCTTATTTCTAAGCCCTGGTGGGGACCGGCGATCACGATCCCAAATATCAAAGTTGCAGCTTCACATGAAGTCGGAGTATGTGCTTTATCTTCTATAGGTATGGTGTTTAACCATCTGTATGTTTTCGATCAATGCCAGCTAGATCTCCGCAAGTCTATCTCAACATTCAGCACTCTCTCACAACTGACTCGTGCTTAGTAAGGAATCAGGGTGGGTGGTTCCTGAGTACATCCCCTCAACTTCCGCGACAGGCTCCCGCAGCACCCATGACGCTCAAATCTTCGCAACGCTGCCAGTCCGGAGGACCCAGGTGTTGGGGAGTAAGTACCAGACTTAAAAGTGGCAGGTGGTGACCTGTTGGAAGGTGCTGGTATGTAAGCTTTTTGTTGGATTTCATGAAGCATTGGGAGGTTGATAGGATCTTTACCCGGGTGACGATGTGCCTCCCAAAGAGAGACTTCGTAGAGACTTTTGGGGGGAGACGTGGCCCGGCCTCAGAAAGATGCCCAGCCGTCATCCCTAGCCTCAGCTCCTGCCAGTCTACTAGAGGTGCAGATCTCTTCTTCTCCCAGGACACCTACCTAGACCATTGTAGGCATTGTAGAGTGCGGATCTACTAATAGGTGCAGATCATCGCAGATCTATTAGGCTATTTTTCACAGACCCTCGCGGACCACGGTGCGTCGCGGGGCCTTTCGGCTCAGGTGGAGGTGGAAGGCGGTCGCAGCCAGCGTCGCCTCTCGCGCCTGGCAGCTGCCAGTGGCAGTGTGCTAGCGGTGCCCCGGGCACCAAACGAGAACGTCGGGGGAGCTGTTGGGCAAGAGACTTCTTATGACTTTTTTTGATTTCTCGCAACACTATAGATTGTCAGACCGAATTCATATGGGGAGGTTCACATGATTAAGAGTCCAGAAACATTCATGTTGACCTTTGTACCACCCATGTTTTCTTTTGATTACTGCGGACTGCTGGGGATCAGATGGCTCGTCTTTTCTCATTCATTTGGATTTCACCGCCCCAAAGCCTGAGCAGCCGCGATTCAGAAAGAAAAGGACAGGGTTCACCACGTGTGGCCGAAGTTTGCCATCAGATCTCGGCAAACGAGTGTATACTGTGTATACATTGGTTGTAAATGGTTGTAAAATATGTTTGTGACCATCATCACACTCCATGTAAGCAACAGGAACCCGCCACGTTTGAATGGCTGGTAGTGCATGTAGAGATCATGTGTACTTAATAATGTATGAACCATTGGGCTATACTAGGACCCACGGTCGGGTTGGTTAATGGACACCCCGAATCACCTCTAAGGGGCTATCAATAGAGACCAAAAAATACCAATATAGACAGACCAATACTGTGTATACAACCAATGGTTGTAACATATTTTTGTCCAATAGACTACCCTACTTACAGGTCTCCAGACAGGGCACCCAGACAGGAAGGGACAGGAAGTGCTAGGCTGGTGGTTGATTGAACTCGCTTGCCCGACCGGAGACGAACCCCACCACGCACCGCTCTAGGCCTTCCAAGGTGGCGAGGTGGCACGTCGCTTGGCACGTCGAAGCTATACGATCGGATGGGGCGCGGACCCGCGCAGTCTGTTGCACTGGTGTGGACTGGGGAGGTTGGTTGATATCAGGGACCCACAGAGAGAGTAGAGAGATTGTGGCATACCCAGGAAACGTGGGATAACCTGTAAGACCAATTCTGCCGAGTGGTGGTTTCCCCGCTAAACATGAACGGGTGCAAAAGGTTAAGCACCTTTATTTACGAGGGAGATCTGAGGGAGTTAGAAGAGAGAGTGAGAGTTCCTGCAAAGTGTTCAGCCTATCACTCTGAAGTGTCACTCATTTGGAATTCCTGTTGCTTGGCTCCTGTGCAAGGGGCAGTTGAGGTTTGTCATGTGTTTTTCCGGCCTTCTTGGGTCTTGTGAAACATCCACCGCCTTCCCCGCTTATTTTGGGGCTCCCTGCCTGCACCCTGCTTTGCGCGCGTAGAGCGCGTTCGCACCGCGGTGCAGTTGGGGGGGGGTTCTGAGGATGGTATCCCGATGAGGACGAGTTCGCCTTAATCGACTTCAAGGAGCAAGTAGGCCACGCCTGCGTGAGGGTGAAAAGCGTGACAGGGGTTCGCAGCAGACTCCCAGGGACCAATGCTCTGTTTTCCATTGACTTTGAGCATCAAGAGGAGTTTCAGGACGGTGGGAGGGAGGGGTTGTGCGATTGTTTGTGTGTTATTCTGTGGCTTGATTGGTGTCTTGTGAAGATGAACAAGAGATAACAAGAGTCAAGGCCCTTCCCCGTCCAACCCGGATGAGCCCAGGGTGATGAAGGCGCTAGGTCCAACCCATTCTTTTCATGTTCGGCACACTGTCGGGTTGTAGTGTTGCCCACCTGGGCATCATTAGACCCACCTGGGCATCTCCATACTCCTTCCAGTCGCTCGAATCCCCGATGTAATTCCTTGCATATCATGTCAACGTCATTCAACATCCAAGGGGCAGCCCCTTACCCCCCTTCAAAACAATATCAAAGATGTATACAGATGTGTTTTTTTTTCAGAACTCCTCAGTGACTCAAAAGAAACATTTGGCCTGCGTATCATCGATGACCTCGATGACCTCGACCCAGAACGCAAGGTGAAGTGAGTCGGGTCTTCCTGGACGTGACGGGCTTTCATGCACTGCTGACCAACAGCAGCGGTGACAGCTGGTACTTGAACTTCCAAAGCCCCTTGGTGGCTGTGAGGTCACACCCCCCATGGGACCACGAGGTGATAGGAAGACGTCAGTTGCTGCAGCCTCTCTCCACCGACGCTGCCGTTTTTGCTTGCTGCTTGCTGGACCTATAAGAGAAGTTGAGCCAAAGTGACTATAGACTATAGTAGAACTTTCTGAACGCCACAGTCAATTGTGGGATCCCAGACGTTCAACGATTCATGCCAAAATGCGTTTCATTCCACCTTGTTGGGAGTTCTAGGATGTTCTAGGATATCTGGAAGAATAGCAGAGTTGGCTTGTGAGGTGGTTGATTTTTCATCCACATATTCTTTTTTGAGCAAGTTGATGAGTCGGGAGGGTAGCTTAGTTTCTTGATTCGCCAAGCATTGGCATTATATATAATCAAAACTTGGGCTTAGGCGATTCCCACACTCCTACAGTCCTCGAACATGCTACTTTATAAGTTATAATTACTGTATCACTTTTGGAGCGGAGATCCAAAACCAACAAGTCACCCTCCACCCGCCCGAAATCCAAGTCACATCCCCCACATCCCTCAGCGTAACCGGGGCAAATCCGCCCCTGAATCCGCCCGGCCTTGGGATTGTCACGTCACGTCCGCGCGGAAGTCCGATGCGCTCAGGTACTCAGGCGCTTCGCTTGTCCAAGCTGACGCCCGGCGACGTCGGATGCGGAGCACTCCTCGGGACGGTGTTTTCACCCCAGGGTAAAAATGGAATCCGAAAGCCCCAGAGGACACAACCCTGCAAGTGAAGCACATGCAGGATCATGCAGGCACTCGGAAGTGCAGGCACTCGATGTTGTTTCCCATGGGACGTGTCATCTCATTGCCTCCCTTGGAAGTCGGCGTGAAGGTGCTTCATAGGGGAATCACGAGGCGTGTGCCCCTTGGAGTGGTTTTTGGCTGTCAAGGGACCAGCCGCACAGCAGCCTGCTTTTCAAAGCCCCACAGCAGGTGGACAGGAGGATACTGCTAGGACCTTCCAAGTCCGGTTTTGGGACACCTTTGACACCTAACAAGCTATAGGCTCGGTCGGACGTCGATCCTGGAAGGTGTTTGACTGCGGCCGTGGACGGTCGCACTGGCAGCGATCGACCAGACCAAGTTGGCACTCCTGAATACGACCGACCCATTTAAGTCCGGTGCCATTTTCTTGGTATGGTCTTTATAGTTTAAAGCCTTTAGCTACACAGTCTATGAAGACCACAGACCACCAACATGGCACTGGACTTCTTACCTGCTAGAAACGGGCCTCAGAAGCACTAATATATTGCGCGCACGCACCTAAAAACAACACGAAGTCTATCGGTCGTGTCTCGCAGTCTCGTCCAAAATGTTCATCCAGCCCTTTCTGCATCCGCGGATGCAATCCGGCTCGGCTCCTTCGTGCCGTCTTCGCCTGTTTCCTCTTTTTGAGGAAGGGCCATGTCTTGGAAAGTGCCTCCTGGGACGTGGAAGCAACCACCAGCAGCACCCGCGACCTTTTGCTCGGCCCCTTGGGAGAAGAACATCCACCCTAGGGCTCCAAGTACCTTCTAAGAAGGTGTTTGGGGTGGGTTTAGAGGGTGCAGTCATACCTTTTGAGGAGGCACTTGGAGCCCTAGGGCCAATCATTTGTTTAGGGGTGCTGGGGGGGTGGTGGGAGTGCTGGCGAGAGACGGGCGATGCAAACGGAGTTGCGAACCGGGGTGCAATGGGGCCGCTGGTTGGAAGAGATTCTTGGGATACTGTCCAGCCTCACTGAATGTAGACTCATGATTGACAAACGCCTTTATCGCATTCTATAGCAGGAGGTTATTTTTATTTATTTGTCATCCAAGAGTTTATGTTATCCAGCTTTTTCAAAGTGAACCTTTTGCACTCCCCAGTCGTGACCTGTTACGGGGCGACACTGGCCTTGCTACGTACTCTATCGGGGCTCGGGGCTCGCATCGCTGCCGAGCTTCGGAGCGAGCGCTACGGACCGGGCTTCCAGATCTCACGGACCGATCGGTCCACAGATCGGTCCGAGCTGTGGGCCACGGATGGTGAGAATCTCTAGACGAGCTCATGCATGTCGTCTATATGTTTGTTTCATTTTGTGTCTATGTTTGTTGGTTATGATCAAGTCTGATATAGCTCATAAACAATGAGATATCAAGAGATCATGTCCAGCCACGTGTTTGAGTCTCCAGAGACCGCCAGTATGCTGGTCTCGTCTCATGGCCATCGATGAACAGCTGTGGTCCAGCCGGCGAAAAGTGATGGGTTTGAAAGAAGAAGGACACACATGACCAATGATATTATTCAATATTATCAAATGATTACTGTATATTATCCATGGATTATATTATTGGTCATCGGATTATTGGTCATTTACCAATAATATCTTTGCAAGGGAAGATGTGTTGGATCTTAGTTTTCAGGGCCTGTGGCCAAGATACGTCTAATGCCAACACTGCAGACCCCGCACAACCAACATTTGCAGACATACAGAACTCCCTACCAAACAATACATGCATGCAGAAACGACGCCGACAAAAAGGGCGACGCTAGTGCCATCTCATACCATTTCTCATTGCTGTTCAGGGACCCGTGCGGGACAGATCCTTCAAGTGGTCATCGAATCCAAGGAGAGCCGGCGGGGGTGGAACCACCGAGTCGCTTGACGTCGCGAGCCGAGCCGCGACAAAGTCGAGCCGAGCCGCAGGAAAGTCGAGTTGCACACTACTTCTTGAAGAGGAACAAAAACCGGAACGTACCCCCTGGGAGTCAAAGACTATAAAAAGAATGGTCTTTAGGGGAACTGAAAGGGAACTTCCTTTACTTCAGCCGGTCAACATATAGTCTTTGGACTTCTAGGGTGTCCACATGGAAGTGGAGAGACCTGGAGAGACTTTTTGTTCATCTTCTTTCTGAAGAGGAAGGGCTGAACACTTCCATGTCGTGTGCTCGTGTGCTCGCTCGTCGCACGTCGAGCGAGTCGAGTCGCTCCATCCGGACGGGGGGGCTTGGGCATGCCGTTCCGGGTCTTTTCAGAAGCATGGTGGGCTGACCTACAGCCTTGTTTGCTTGATGTTGTGTGTTTTATTCTGATTTTTTGGGATCTTTGAGGGGGATACCCTGAAGTGATCAAGCAATAGGATGCAAAAGCTATATTATGCATGGTAATTACCTGGCTTCGACCCCTCTATACTCTATGACTATGATTTGCAAGGTCCGATATCAGTGGCTGGGCCGATCAACGCCCCGCGTTTTTGGGGCAGGATGTCCTTTCGGCATGATCGAACTCAGCTTCAACAACTCGAGCATCGAACTCGCCAGTCTCCGGACCCTCCACCGATCTGGTGCCGGGAACTGTCCGACGAAGAGTCGACGTGCTTCGACTCCGCACACGCGCCGCCGACGCGTGACGTGCCACAGGAGAAGTCCATTAAGACCCTTTGTGAGTTCGAGCGTGCTGCTCCCGTGGTGGGCCTACGAAGAGCCACCCGGCGCGGGCCGGGTTCAGGGCGGACCCTGGGAGGTAGGTATACACCTGGAAGACTAAGAGGAGCCCAAAGAAAGAGGAAACGCATTCGCAAGAGGATGGGTCGTTCCAAATCAGGGCAACCTGGTTTGAACATGGTTGAATGATGTTTGATTGAAGAAATTACGATGAACCACGCGTGTCCGCGAACAGGGCGAAACATGCCAACCGATCAGCTTGCTTTTTAGATCTCCCACCACCTAAGTAGCACCCAGTCCAGCAACTGGATATGACTTGGACCCCTGAACTTGTCAAGTTGCACGCTTATTACAGGGCGCGCCAACGCGCCAGCGCTGGCCCGCGCCGGCCGAGCTGGCCCGCGCCATCGGTCATGAGTCATGACCGAGGAGAGAGTCTTCTCCACGGAAGATGGCCTGGAGCGACTGGTCTTGTTTGCAGCGGCGGGCTGCAGCTTGTATGCCTTTGTGGGCGCTGGATCCCTTGAGACACTGGGCGCCGAGACTCTGGGGATCGACGGTATATGGGAGGGATGAGGGAGGTGGAGAGGACTGGGGGGGAGTGAGGGTTATGTGGGAGTGTCAAGGTGTTTGGGCCAAAGAAATCAGGTTCTGGGATGTTCTGGGAATTTTTGGGTGTTTGAAGGGGCGTGCTCTAGACGAGGCAGGCTTCGCAATTGTTGGATTCTGCCCTGATCTGTGGACACAAAGGTTTCAAGCAACTAGGGAACCTCCCCAAATCATGTTTATCAAGTTTCACTGGCACCGCTCCTTTTTCGCGCGATCGCCGCCCAGGAGCCTCTTCCAGAGATACCAAGGGGAACGCGTGACGAGCCGCGCGCGCATCTATGAAGTCCCCTTCGACTCGCCGTATGGCAGGGCGGGTTGTGGCGGAGCATGGCGGAGCGTGTGCATCTTGCGAATGGCCATGGCCCGGCCCTGTCCACGTATGATTGATAAACAGCACCAAAAAGAAACTAGCATCTTGCACATTTGGGAAACCGTTGCATGCAACCGTTGCACGTCTTTGCACTAATATGTTTATGCACCAAGAATATCAAAGAGCAAAGCCAAAAGCTTTTTTTGTGTTATGATTCATGTGTTTCCTTTGCAGTGTGTGTGTGTGTGTGTTTTTTGTGATGGCTTAGATGGGTTCCTGATTGAATTGATTGGATCCTGAGAGGCATGGAACCACATTTCAGGGGGGACTTTAAAGTTTCATAAAGTTTCTCACCTTGCCCAACACCCGGAGCCCCAAACCCAGGATTTCATGGGCCTTTGATCCCACAACAAAATGCCAAAGATGTTTGGCAATCAAGCATTCATCGGGAAGGACCCCAAAGCATCTACTAAAGGTACCCCTTATGCAATTTCTTGGCACCAAAAATGTCAATCCATAAACGGTGCTGAGTTTTTGTTGGCTACTCGTGGAAGTATGTTGATTTCCTTTCCCTTCCCTTTCGCCAATTTTTAACACAAGTCCAGATCCTGGCCGATATCCGGCACAATTAAAACAGCTTTTTGGGTAGGGATATTGAAGGTGCCTTGATTATCCTTGATGTCCATTCAGTGTGATTCAGGCGGGAAACAAGGTCCCTGGTGATTGAATTTTAGGTCCACAAACTTCCATTGGGATCCATATTGGGGGTGTATAATCACAGGAAAACCTCACCTGCCAGATTGACCTCCAGGGAAGAAGGGATATATATATATATAGATCAAAACCTATTGGTTGGGAGTCTTCCTATCAAGAAGCTCACTCATGTCATGAATTGGGTGCAAAGAAAGGAGCGTCGCCAGACGCTTGGCAGATGTCGGCAGCATTGACAAGTGACCAGATGTTCACCCAAACCTTGGGTAAAAGGCACTGGGACTTGTGTGGTGACCTTTTTGTATGATATCAAGGAGGTAGTGATATGTTATGAAATGATAATGATATCATTGATATCGTAAAAAGGCCTGGTATACGGTAGTAAACAAAGATATCAAGGACCGTGAGTATGAAACTCCTTGATATCTAGGTCAACTGGGTCCAACAAGGTCCGACATGGTCCGACTAGGTCGGTGAACTTGGCTAAAGCGTCCATCGTCGTCCGTTTTGGGAGTTGATTTGGAGGAGTTGGTCAAAACTTGCCGTTCCTCCCAGGGAGTTGGTGAACAATTGCACCGAATTCTCAAGACTGGCGAACACTTCCCACAGATGTTTGGGTGACCTGTTTCGGTACGCCACGAGTCTGGTTGACGTAGCGAATTCCGTGAGCAACATGCCCAGACACTCCATGGGACTGCCTGGTATATGCCTACATTGACCTCCAAAACCACCCCAATGTAGGCATACATGGAGTGTTTGGGATGCATGAGCACCTCTTCCACTTCCAGACATGGGGCATCAACACCGACATCGCGACTCTGCAGGCGACTTGCAAGTCGATGAGGCTTGCGTGGGCCCACCGGGCACGAAGGTGCTTTTTTGGCTTACTGGAGTCGGAGTGCTGGCAGCCAAAGTGCTTTCCATGACCAAGGACCAGACCTGTCAATGGGTGTTCAGCCTATGCAGACAAGCAAAGCATGAGTTTGTGAAAGATCAAGGGTCCGTGACAAGGCACGAATTGGCCGCATCAATCTTCGGTGTTTGGCAGAGCGTGGCGGCTTCGTGTGCGGTGGTTTCAAGAATAGATTTGCACAATCCCAAAAATAAACAGAAAACGATCTAAAAAGGACATATTGAGGTTTGCACCTTCATGTTTGAAACCACTGATGAATCTTTGGTGCAAGAGCGTTTTATACTGCAGCCGCGCAGTCTCAAGAAGCTGCCCGTGAATAACTTAAGGCCACCCATGGCCACTCACTTCGGGAATTCCCAAAATGGCAAGATGGTTTTGATTCCGGTTTGCCATTGTCCCAGTGATTGTTCCGAGCCAGAGGCATGCCATCCCGGATTCTTCTCCGTCCCCAGTGATTCTTTGCATGTTTCAACTCCCACCTCATGGCATCGGTTTGTGCGATGCAGCTCGTAATGAAGACTTTTGTCCAGTCTTAGTTTTTCCTCCCACTTGGACTTCCTACAGACTGCCTCTTCGAAGCGTAGTACGTAGGAACATTAGCAGCTTGCTTTCACCTGTTCCAGCTTGCTCACCATCCGTGCAGGACGCAGCTGGCAGCACCTGTTTATTGGAGTCTCCACCTGGCTTGGTGCCCTTCCCTAGTAAGACTGGCAGCGGACGTACTGGAGTGGTCTCCTCCTTCCTACCTGCGCCCCCGCCGCTGAGCTTCAACGAGCAGTGACCTGGTGGAGGGTTCGCAAATGGCATGCAAACTGAGTCGTTTCTGGGGAAGGTGTTTGCGTCAATGATATCCAAATATATATCCAACAATCAATGATTTGTTGTTGATACATGTCGACACCCTGTGTGGTGGCAGAATCCAATGTGGTTCAAGTGCACCCGAAATGACGGCATGTGTTTGTGTGTTCAATCAAGCAGAGCAGGTGTCATTTTGATGTTGTTTGTGTAAGGCTGAGTGCTTGGGAACTGGCTGTAACTAGACCTCCGCGTCAGCAAATTGTTAGAAGCTGTTGGCACCCATTGGCCGCAAAAAGATCACAACATTAAGCCTGTTCATTTGGGCTGTTGCTTCGCTGGCCTCGCGCCTCCCCCCGGGCATGGCCTCGCGCCCGAGGCCCCCGGCGCCCCGGTCCATGGCGCTGACGAAGTTTCACTTGATTTTCGCCTTCGAAGATCGAATCCTGGCATTCTTCGTCTCATTTGCATGGGTCATTACTTCCCCTATAGGGCTCCTGGCCTACCTCCTGAGAAGGTGGGCCAGGGGTGTGTGCCAGGGGGGTCCTGGCCCACCTTCTGAGGATATGGTTGGAGCCCTAGGGCTTGTGGATTCATTAGGTCTTGGTTCACCCCCCACAGCCCAACCAGGTTAGGTGAAGAGTGAGAGAAAGTGAAGGGCTAAAGTGGAAGATTATGGCCGATCAAAGTTGAAGCTTGGGATGTAGATCAGCAAGTCAGTAGATGTCAGTAGCTGTGGACAGGTCAAGATTCAAGATGACTCTGTAGCCCCAGAACTGTTGGAGTTCGGGTTGGAGCCTGAGCTAGCTGGTGTGGAATCTTTGCAAGACCCTCCTGCCAGCATTCACCAACTGCATGGAAGAGACGTACTGCGGCTGTTTGGTGCAAGAGGGCTTCCTTTGGAACACAGGCACTTCGTCCCCGAACCGCGCCAAAACGAGTATGGATTTGACCAGTTGAAATGCAACACACCAGGGTCATCCTGTCTGGGCGTCCAATAGACTACCCTACGTAAACAGGTCTCCAGACAGGGCACCCGTTGGAAGTGCTAGGCATGCATGCACCTTGATTGCCATGGTCGTTGACCTCCCAATCGCCCTGGCTTCGTGGCTTCTCACAGCGGCCGATCCTCATCCATCCGATCCTCCCCTCAGGATGGGTCGCCGTGAGCCGCATCACCCACGAGGCGGCGGAAGCGGGCGGGGGAAGCGGTCGGAGCGCTCGAAGCGCCGAAGAGAGACTGAAGGAGAGAGAGGGAGAGGGAGAGGTAATCAAATAATTAGATACCAGGGGTCACCTAAGGGAGAGATGTGTTGAGTCCCAGTTTGAGTCCCAGTTTGAGTCCCATCCAGTGAGTGAATGTGACAAGTGGGCAACCCCACTTCCATGGATAGCACCCAGTAGGAAACTCTTGGTAGATAGGAACACCTGACTTTTTGCTCGAAGCGTCGCAGGTGATTTCCGAAACCCATATAGTTGAGACGGGACGTCCTTGTGCCCCCATACTTTTCAGCTTAGAAATCACCACCAATCCATCAACACCAACAACGACCCGAACGAGAAGAAGCAGCAACACCCAAGAAAATCGCATCCATTCATCCAAGCCCTCCATCCATCCAACTTCACCCAAACCACCCAGCACCTAGATTCACCTCGATTTTGGATCACCAACCACTCCATATGCACATATATGCGCTATTTATATATATATACATACATGTTCTTCATTTATTGGTCATGATTTTCCCCTCCAAAGCAGGAGAACATGTAATGACTGTGATGATGTTGGTCTGTTTGTGGGTCCTTAGGGCCCTCACTAGCATCACCTCCCAGGTGGTCCAACAACAAGATTGGGCCATGTCCACTTACGGCCCGCTCCGGTGCCTCGCGCGGGACTGGCACGGCGAGAAGCTGTGGCTCTGCTCCGAGCGCCATGCCTTCGAGGTGAAGATCCACCAGGAGGAACGAGCCTCGATGAGGATCCTCCCACTGGCCCTGACTGATGGGGATCCCCAAATACAGATAGTGGCACGAGGGGGATCCACATACCTATGGGGGGTGATGTTTTTTTCATATACCCTATGGATCCACAGACCGTACGGTGAGCAGGGAGACTAGTTATGAAGGCGCCATTGTCGGGTCCAATGACGTTCTGAGAAGGTACTTGGATCCCTATGGATAGATAGTGGCACGGTGCCCAATGCATTTTGAGTGCGGATCTACTTTTTCTATTTTTTTGGGGGTCTCTACTCAAGTGTAGACTCTTGATGAATCCCTTCCACCTATAAAGAAACACAACCCCCCCCCTTATATAATAAGAAAATCGACTCAACATGACTCAACTAACCTTCCACTTGGATTCTAAAACCTCTTCACTGATGGGTTGTTTTAACTATACATCAAGAGTCTACATTGCCCATTTGTTTGCATACCTTCTCCACCTTCCTGGTGGGAGGTCCAGGATGCTGTCCAAAGCCGAGCTGAGGCAGACTCCTCTAGTCTGAAGTTTCTTGTGAAAATCTAAGTACGGTGGTTTCAGACATGATAAAATCGACCAAGTTAGATTATTTGGAGCGGCATTTGGAGGACATCCTGGGGAAAAGGTGCCATCTACTCTGAAACCACCGTAGATTACCAGTATAAGGATCAAAAGTTGACCGCCTTTACGCGTTTCACTCTGTGTCGTGGGTCTTGCTGCTCAGGAAATGTGTGGGCCTTGCTGCTGCGATTGGAGCAATTCGACGATGCTTTAGCGGCCTGCCCCTTGCTTGGAACAATTTGAAAGCTTCAAGGATGACTCATCTAGCTAGCAGAGAGAGAGGGATAGGGAGAGAGCCACTGAGCAGCCGGTTCCTTTCCCGGCCGTGGTACGATTGCTTCGACATCATGCACCTGGCCCCACTTCACTGAGTGGAGCAGTGATTGCCTTTGGTTACTTGCTATAAATAGTTTTCCTTGGAAATAGGATTACTTATGAACACAAATACTCTTTAGCCGATTTGGTTTGACCTACTGTAAATCACTCCATAAGTTTTCCAAAAGCTCCCAAAACGTTCCAAACAATTCCAAATGCCATAAAATTATACACAATTCAACAACATGTAACATAGATGTTTTTCAACACGTTCAAACATTCAAAAAAAATCACACAATACAGCGCGCACGACCGAAGGGTGTTCCTTTGATGATTTTTGATGAACACCCCATGGGTAACAAATGAACATTTGCAGACAGTGTCACCTAGAGTCACCGAGAATGGCTCTTGATTCTCCTTGGCACCCACTGACCACTCCGATCCAACCAAACCCCAAACCTCCGCATCTCAGGTCGCAGCCCCTCCCAGCGGATGCGCGTGCTGTGCGCACACGGGGACTACCTCTTCCGGAAGGATTTGGAGATCGATGCTGCCAGGCGCCGCCCACTTTTGCGGCATGGAGCGAGCGGAGGGGGGATGAAGTCCGAAGAAAGCGGGCTCACGTAGAAAGCGAGCTCACATTTGGACCATATAAACGGTGGAAAGCCCCATGTGTTGAGGTTCGTTCACCCAGAGGTTGGAGTTTCAGGATTCATGTTGGGTTCAAAAATACAGACTAACTAGTGGACTAACTGTCCAGCTACACTGGGATCGTGCTCCCAATTGTACATGGACAAGGTTACATGGACCCCTAATTGAACCACCGCTCAAGCATGACTTCAGTCCAATAGCTCAGAGGTTATTGAAGTTGACCCGTTGTGTGGAGTCGATGCCTTAAGCTATAAGCTACCCTGTTTGGGGTCGTTAATGGATACCCCTTAACCTCTAAAGGAGCTATAATTGAACACCCCTGAGGCCCGGGGGCCCAAAAAGCTACCTAATGACTTCGTTCCATGCAGGAAGTTTGCAGAAGCCACGGCCGTCCCGTGCCTTGTCCTGCGATGAATCCGGACGTCGACATCTCTTCAAGAGGTTTCAGCGGCGACGGTGAAAGCGCTGGCGTTTGATGGTACTTGGAAAGAAGACCGTAGCTAAAGCAGCCTCCTGACTTAGATCCTATTTGCGGGGCATAGAGGTATCAGTCATCGAAATGGTTCCTGGGTGATGCCCACATATTCCCACAGCAGGAGGGGTCAGAAACACCAAAAACAATCACTCTTGGTGTTGCTGAGGGACTTCTCAAGATTCAAGTTGCAAACTGGTTGACCACCACAGGAATAGGAGACCGGCGATCACAGAACAAGCGACGATGACCAATGGGATTGGATGGGCAGTGGTGCTCCCTGGTGTTGTTTATTTTCTTCGAAGATCTTTTCCATACCAAACACTCCATGCATGGCATATTTACAGACACCCTACATGGACCCTGTAAACCACTGGTTGGTAGAGGGAAAACACTCTTCCAGGGGCCATTGTCAGAGTCTATGTGAGTTTTCGGGAGTGTACACATATTTACATACATTGGGGTGGCTTCAGGGGTCAATGGGGCGGCATATATACCATTCCCATGATCCGATGAAGCAATCAGCATCGATGTCCCGCAAGCAGTCGGCTCACCTTGACTTCGCTCCGATGGGTTTCCCCACACCGATCGGAGGCGTTTTCGATCGATCGATTGCGTCATGTTATCTGGCCCTGTGAGACGCCACCCAGCCACTCAGCCACCGTCGAATGATTTTGGGATTCTATGAAAGCTACCAGCTGCGCGCTTCTTAGTGATGAACAACCCTGAACATCACTGGAACCTCTTGCTTGACTAAGTCTCATAAAACAAATTCTCACCTTCATTCACATCTCCTTCTACCCACTCAACAGCCCTTCACCTGAGACAACCAGGTTCGAGCACGTGTGCCTGCGCTTCTTGGGCGCTGACCGAAAGGCAGGTCTCTTGGAATATCTCCGCTTGCGCCTGCGCCGGGCCGGTGATCAGGCGAGGCGAACGTGAGGAGGGGCCAGGGTGCAGCACATGACAGCTTCAAGCTATGGCAGCTCATAGGATCTAATAGGGCTATGATTCCAACATCCCAACAAAAGTACCCAGAAACATTCTGTCATGTGATGATCCGCAACCATCGAGGGAAAGGTTGTGGTTTTCAAGGGCAGAAAGGATCCACTCACATCCATTTGGGGTCTCAAACACCCAGTAGACTGCTGGTTGAAGCGGCTCATCTCTGGATCTCTCTGGCCATTTTCAGGTGACCCGATCCTTATTGAGCGTTTGGGCCGTGGAGATCGCCTTGGCACGCCTGGACGAGCTGCGCCCCTCGGGCGCAGTGGTGGCTTTTGGGTCGATGGATGTCGATTGTTTGTTTTCTCTCCCTGGAACTAACATGGAAGTGGATGGCACCACCTGTTTGTAGTGGATTTCATGTTCTTCCTTTCGGCCATGCCATCCACTTCCATGTTAGTTCTAGAACATGTAGAGCTTGAAGTCCGCATTTTCAAGTGCCACCACAGCAGACCACAGCGAACGGAGATGTTTGGTCACTTTTTTTGGGGCTGGAGAGGGGGTGCGGTACGTAGCAGATGGTACCATTTGGCGACTAATTAGGCTGGAGTATAGGTAGCCGCCGCATGTGGCGGCTATCTTGTCATGTTACAGTTATACATCATGTTAAGTCAGATCATTCAAAAGTCCATGTGGAACTTCCAGAGCTTCACGTTTGGTTGGTGTTTGGGCCGTGGCATGCCGTGACATGCGCGTTTGGTTTTTACCTTTCTTTTTTCGGGGAGTTCCCGTACACCACGAAAAACATGGAATTGGCGGTGGTCTTTGAGTACCATTCCCTTCTCGTCCGCAAGACCCGTTTCGGACGGATGTGGAGGACGTTTCTCACTTGACCAATGGTCCGGCATGAAGAACAAGAGTCTAATAAGAGAATCTAATACATATAGTCATTATGAATAGAGTCTAGTATAGTATACTACATAATAGTATAGATATGGCGGAGTCTACCACTATTCTACATATTAGTCAGAGTCTAATACTCATTATGCCGGAGTATTATATATTATGTTGCCCAAGAGAGATCCCCACTATTGTATATATTCTGTGTCCATGTGACGCTTTTCACCCCACCCCACCGCACCCGACTCTCGGGCTCGATCGCAGGTTGCACAGAGGCTGCACAGAGCTTGGCTGCTGAGCGGCAGCAGCTTCTGGAGCTTCTGCAGCAGTGCACCGAACTAGACGCGACTGGGTCATCATTTCATGGTCAGCAGCTCCGCTGCGGGTTTGGGGGGGAGATGAAGCAGCTCAGGGTTTGCATTGGAGTTGAGGAACGGTTGGGAAGGTTGAACAACTGGTGGACATCTCATGGTTTATGTTGTTTCCAGTGCTTTTCTGTATGGAAAGAGGCCGCAGTGATGAACACTCGCGTATAGAAGACGGTTCTTCGGACTGAGCTTGGAGTCTCAAGTCTCACGATGGAAAGAATAGCCGGGGGAGGGAAGGACAAGAGGACACCTTTTTCCTTCTGTTGTTGTCTTCTCGTTTCCCTGTCTCATCATGAGCAAAAACCGAACCAAGATTGCCATTGGATCGAGAAAGGCACTTATAGATTTTAAAGTGGACTGACTGGAGACAGTTCAGGCTTGCTTCCTGAATGGCTTGCTATGATAAATCCAACATACACCGGAGAATCACTCAAAGAAACGTGGGATATCGCGGAGATCCTGGGCAGGCATGCAAGGCCCGACCCCAAAACATCACCTGCTTCGCAGACTCAATGTCAGTCTGTGGAGCAGTTGCTGCTGTTTGGGTGAGCGTTTCGAGCCTGGTTGCAACACTCAATATGGTGAATCTAAAGCTGGACCCTTTCACCCCTGGTAGATTGACCATCTGACTGGTGCGACGAAAGCAGGGTGGCTGAGGGTTTTTCTGGATCCAATACAATCTCTGGGGGCGAAACTTCCCTTATTCCCTACAAACTCGTCGCACCAGTCAGCCATGTTTGGTATTCTATTCATTTTCAGTGACGGTCGGGTGTCCCAGTGCCCTGAACCCAGTGCCATGCGCCCGACACTGGGACCGGAGTGGGCTGTGTCCGGTCACGGCACCGGGCTGGGGGGGGGAGTGCTTCGCACTGACTGAGAGTCACCAGTCAGAAGCCTGAACTTCCGCAAACGCGCCCTGGTCAGGTTCCATACTCTGGTTTGGCTTAAGGCGGTTTTCTTGACTGTTAGTGTTAGCGTGGATGCCCTTGAGTTTTTGCAGGCAGGTAGGGCCACGGTTTTGACTCAGCGCTAGAAATGATGGTGAGGAAATCCATGAAGGCCAGCCCTTATGGTGATGCATCCAAACTCACACAATCTGCCACATGTTCTTCAATTCCCAGGTGCATGCGACAATCTACCACCTGCTGCAGAGCCATGGCTGGCTCGATGAGCTTGACACTCGGTTCCAGCCGATCCGCCCGACTGACGGGATGCGTTCGCCCATGCCTTTGAATGTTTGTTTGGGGTTTTTAGAAACGAGTGGAATGTCAAGACATGTACGCAAGATGAACATCCAGAGAGTTGAATTCCGTGTTCGTCAAAGCGGTCTGACAGATGTTTTTCTCACACCAGTGTGACATATGCCTCAGCGTCGGCTTTCAACCTCCCGAGCTTGTTTCGGTAGATTTCCTTTATCAACTTTAGTCCTTCATTCATCGCCATCGTTCTTGGTTTTGCCGAGCAGACGAGTCCTTTCAAGCAAACCAATGAATCAATCCGCCTATTTTTGTGAGTCTTTGACCAAGTCCCTTTGAAAGGAGGTTTGGTCAAGCAGTCCCGTAAAAGCACGTGGGTTTGACCCAGAAGAACTGGAGAGAGAGAGAGGGTCCGACTGGAACATCCTGAACTGGAAGAGGTTCTTGAACTTGGACCAGCCTGCGAAAGCCATAGGTTGAGCGAGCCGAACCTGCGTACTTCACTTTTCTGTGCCTTTTTCCTCTAACCTCGATTGAGAGAGAGAGAGAGAAAATCTTTCTTCCGCTGAGCCACAGCAAGTGTCAATCAGCTGGGGGAAACATTTTTTGAGGAGTGTTCTTTTGACCAGTGCTAGACCTGCTAGATCAAGAGTATTGATTGAGGCGAGCTTTGCAGAGATGCGGAAGGATTTCACCACAGCACCTCGAGCACAAGCTGGGAGAGCTAAGGCAAAATGGGGTTCACACTTGGTAGCTACATCTTCAAGGCTGACTTAGAAGGGCATTCAAAGGCGATCAAAGGCGTGTGTTGCCAAATGTTGTTTGGCAGAATTTATGCAAGTTGTCCCCGCTCACTTGCGGCAACCAATGAAGTGTTGACCCTAGCGCTTTAAGTATATTCCAAGACATGCTTTTCGGATTCATGCGGGGTGCATGTCCTTATCTTCTCCAAACATGACACGCGGCCCTTCATGGGGGGCCGTTGGAAGATGATGTGACTCTATACTCTTCGCGGCGCCTACCCCACATGATTTGCGGCTGCTACCATCCATCATTGGGGTTAAAATCAGGGGTGAATGTCATAGCAATACATCGATGGTCTGGGTATGTCTGGGTATGTCTGGTACCCTAGGGATCCAGTTGTACCGAACCTCAGAAGGTACGACTGGGCCCGACTCCTGGCGCCTACATCAATAGTCTCCCTGCTCACCGTACCTGAGAAGGTACTTGGATCCCTAGGGGTAATAATAGTTCAATCATATTTTGGGGCGGCCAGTCATGCCTATCGCCGGCCAAGGACTGCCCATAACATGCAGCACCACCATAAGGAAAACGGGTGAGGGAGGACAACTCCCGTTTGACGGGGGACTCGTTCACCTACTTGCAACTTGCAAAACATAATCAAGCCATTAAAAGACCCAAAGGCTTCAACCATATCCTCAAAAGCATTCAACAGGTGGTTAGACCGCTAGAGGGTCAGACCCCCTGGCATCCACCACTGGCACCCACCTTTTCATGCCACGTCGCATCGTCCCATAAGTTCCCCGCCTCGGACGAGGTGATTTTGCACCACGTGAGCCGGCGCGAGGGGACGAATGCGATTCGAAAGCTGCAGCACTTTGGTGCGTCCGCCGGACAAGACCTGGCCACCTGGCAAAACAGAGATGGCGCCAGCGCATGGTTGGGGTGTTTTCAGAGGATCTTCTCTTCTGACTCAGTCCATTCCCTGTGCCCAAGTTATAGTCTAAAGTTAATTAATCCAACATGGTCTCACATTCACCCCTCTTCCTGCCTGAGTGATAATGGAAACTCTTGAAGCCACGCTGTCGGTTCGCCCACCCATCATCCGTTCCACAATCCCCAGTACCATCCCGGACACGCCCCGCTGCCCCGCCACATGGTGCGCATGGCCCGTCAGGTTTGTAACTTCGCGCCCGTTCTTTTCGGCTCTGCTCCGGCAGCCTTCACCTCACTCCTTCTGAAGCAGCCCAGCTTGGCGCCTGGGCGGTCTAGCGTGCAGGTTGTGAGTGTTGGCCAGGCGAACGAGTCACTTGTCCAGAGGATGGGACGTACTATGACTATGCAGGTTCCATTCCATAATGTTGAGTATTACACAGTTAATCTCATATGTGTCACTTGTCCCGGTTGGTGGGATTTCACGCCCCAGATTAGCGTTTTGCTGCAAACAGAAGTGTTCGCCATATCTTCCGAAGTAGCCTTTCTCAGCTTTCTCAGATTCTGTAAGCTTCTTTGCTTTTCTCAAGCTTCATGGGGTACCCACTCGACTGGGCAGTCACCCGCACCGCTTTCCCGTTTTTTTGGGGGGGCGCCAGCCGGGGCCGCCCGCCGGGCATCCAGGATCCATTGCTGGTGCTGCCAGGGGTCTACTCACCTCAGGGCATGCCCACTCACAGGCGCCCATGCGAAGACAGACCGTGGGTGGGTGACTGGGGGTGACCGGGTTCCAGCACACTTGGTTGAAATAGAGAGGCGTGGTCTTCATGGTGACTTGGCGTGCGTTTAGCACCAGTTTGACGTATGAATGTGTTCCAAAGCCTCAGGAACACTTCGGGAATAGCACTTCGGAGTTGGGAAGCTTGTTAGAGACCCATTGGGCCGAAAGAAACATGTCATTTTCTCCACCTTAGGTGGTCCATAGCACTTGGACCCCCATATGATGTCCCGGCCTTGGTAGATCCGGACCCCCTTACACCACTTCACCACGAGACGACGGCCGCGTCCGCGTGGATCGACAGACAGACGCCCCATCCGACCGATGCTGCGCCGCGTCCGCGTGGATCGACAGGACGGAGGCCATCCGGTATTTGGAGCACGCGGTGCGGCATGGCGCCGAGCATCCGGAGATGCCGAGCTTCAAGGGAAGCGCCTTCCGCGCAGCAGGAGAGAGATGAAGAGAAGAACGAAGCGGGTGATGGCATGTGATGGCCATGATGGGTGTGGAGGAAGGAGGGAAAAAGGATGAAAAAGGAGGATTGCCAGACAGTTTCGGTGTGATGTGTGTGTGTGTTTTTCCATGTTTTTCCTGTAACTATACTGTAACTTTAGATTCTAAGGATTCTAAGGTTCAATACTGAAAGCTCATATTTCATAATCGATTGGGTGGATCATCATGAGGTGGGAGGTTGTGGGTGTGGGTTAGAGTTAATCTCGGGGGCTTGAGGCCAGAGGGTTGTAGAGGAGGGTATTACTGTAGTTTCAGAGTAGATGGTACAGACCTAATTTTTCGTTCAGATGGGGATGATGGGGTCCATACTGGGGTCCATATAAACCGACATTGGGGGTGCCATCTACTCTCAATCCACTATCAAAAAATCAACAATTCACTGCACATCCAAGGTCTTCCCGTCCATCAAACGTGTGGCACCGGGTTCCACTTGTGCTTGCACTGCTGCAGCCCCTCAGACCATGTGCAATTCTTCGGCCAAACTTGCGTACGTAACAGTGGCATATATGAGAACATGCTACGCCATACTGTTGTCCCCAGGCTGGCACCATACACTTTACAAATTTATTGATATCCCCTATGTTGCTGTGTTGCCTGAGTGGAGGACACCTGCTGCTGGACCACCCAGAAGATGGGACACAGCGCTCAGGTACTTTGGCTTCGTGCTTTTTTCAGCAGGGCTTTCAGCAAACCCAGCAGTGTAGTTTCGTGTTGGATGCGTTCAGCATTCCATCCGTTCCACCATGCACCAGCTACCAAGCATGTTTGCTTTGCGCCAGCGATTTCATGGTTTCAGATGGTTTCAAGCTGCATGGTTTGAAAGTTCTTTGCCAAACATCACGTCCTTTTCAGTTCGACGGAGAGAGGCTGGGCGAGTGGCACTGCTCTTCTGAATGCACTGGTGGTCATGTTTGCTGACGGCGGTGAGGAGACAGGCGGGGTCCCATGTTTCTAAGGCTCCAAGTGCCTTCTTAGAAGGTACAGTACTTAAATTGCATAGATGGTGTTTGGCATGGGTTGAATCATTACGAAAGCCAGCCTTCGTAGAAGGCGCTAGCGGAGTTGTGTCTGGCGAACGAAGTGAGTAGTTAGGGGGTCTGGGGGGGTGGCCCGAGAAAGGGACACGTCAACTCAGCACATGCTGGGGGAGGAGGGTGCTCCGAGGGAAGGTTTTTTGAGGTTGTGTTGGAGGTGATTTTTGAGGGGTGGTGATGCAAGAAATGCCAAATGCATCATTTGCATCATCTGAATGGAAAGGTGTAGTTGGCACCTTGCAAGGTAGAGAGACCTAGGGTAGCTATAGTGCAGCTACCAGGTATAGTACTTCAAGTTCCCTTTCCGTCAACCGCTTGAGAACCTCTACACACGCACAGCAAGCCACAGCCTTGAAGTCTCATTCGTGCTTTGAACTTGTATAGGTGTGTAAGAGGT